AATCGGGGCGAGGATTGAACCGGCTCCGCCCGGGAACCAATCAGAAGGGAGTTCTTTATTCCCGCGCTAGTATTCAACACATTTGCTACCGACGATCCCTGCTGTCTGGAACTGGCTGAAAATGTGATATGTAGAGGCCAAAAACAGCTGAAGGGTGGGGGCTGGCAGGTGGGTGGGCCTTCAGCAACATTTGGTGTATAAGACCCACCACAATTTTCACCCACTTTTATGGTGGGGGGAGTGTGTCTTATATTCCAAAAATCATGGTAAATTTGAGATACACCTGAGATACTGGCTCGGTTAACTTGGGCATATGACATTACTGATCTTATGTGAAATAAAAGACATTTCACTTGTTTGTTTCTTTAGAATTTCAATTTATACGGTTGCCCCAATTCAAAAACACCCACTGTTTACTTAGAAGAGTGCACTGTGTTATCCTTCCAAGTGATCAAATATTTTCTTCCTTTTTTTTAGATTAAAAAAATGCCCTGAAGATGGCTGGATAAGACTGGAAAAAAAACCTGGATCTAATTTTGCATTTCCTGCAACTTATCGGACACAGAAGAAAAAATTGATTGATGATGATTTCTACAAAACGATCTTTCTTGCAACAAAACATTATTCCAACAAAATATATGCTTTCTCATTCTCAAATATATACTTAGATATGTCATTGGGGGCAATAAGGTTGCACAAATGATCACACTTTTTCAAAAATTGCTAACATAGAAAACAAAATAAACTTAGTGCACATACCAAATCATGAAATCAAATATTGATGCCCGATTCACAAACTAACTAACATGTTAACTCTTGATGAGGACTTGACTGTAAATCAGAAATCTTTATTGCTACTTGTTTTAGCTTGGCTTCTGACTGGATAGGAGACTCAGAAGCAGTGCTCAGGGTCTTTAATGCAGACTACAAGGCAACCATGCAAAATACGAATTCACCACTGCCAGTGAGAACGCACACATTACCTTTAATCTCCACTGTAGTTTAAAATGTTTTTTTTTCCTTTTTGCCATTCTATGAATAGATAAAATCTTCATTCAGTGTTTGGTAACTTTTTGGCAAAAAGTCAGGCAGTATTACATATTTACATAATTGCCATCTCTGACTTAAGAATCATTTTTTTATATCTGTTAAAACCCAAGGCTGTGAAAAGCCATGGATAGGAAGATAGGTAGCTTGAAATATATCAAAAAGCCCAGCTGCCTGATTGTCATGGCAGAGTTGCAACAATTTACTCCTCCAGGAAAAAGGAAATTAAAATTGGTTGAGGTGTGCTACTATTCCTGTTTTCAGGAAATAGGAAAGAAGGTGGCAAAGTGTTTCCCTGTTTGTTGTGCATGGTTAAAATATGGGAAATTGGGCCCACCTGACCAGGAGCTGTGTAGGATGGTGATAAGTATTCCAAATTCTTATAGTATCTTTGAACTTCCAAAAGATAGCCTTCAGAAAATTTAATTTAAAGTAATACTTTAATTTAATTTAATTTAATTCTATCTTGCTTTCATTATTTTTACAAACAACTCAAGGCAGCAAACATATCCAACACACATTCCTCCTTCTATTTTTTTTCATACCAGCAGCCCTGTGAGGTGAATTGGGCTGAAAGAGAGTGACTAAATGAAAGTCATCCAGCTGGCTTTCATGGCTAATATAGCCTTTGAGAAGATTGTGCTGTTACTGAATTAAAAGCTCCCGTAATGGCCAAAAGTCCCTTCTTAAAAACATCATAATGTTTTTCAGGCAATAGCAACTCTGCAAAAAACAAATGCAGACATTGTCAGAAAAATGTAAAAGTTCAAAAAAGGTTAGCAGAGGGTGAGGGTACTAGGAAGAACAAATGTTTCTTTTGGCAAGTTGGGGGGAAATTGATGATCTGATATGAACTGCTTAGTTAAAAGGTAAAATGCTAATAGGTAACAAAAGGCAGAGGTACTCAACCTACATATTAGTCTAGAAGAGTGAATGGGTAGGATTGGCGCTTTAGAATAAAAAACATCAGGGAATTCCTGTTTATTTTGAATGAATTTAAATCTCCATAGCTAGATAAATTATATCAAAGAATCATCAATGATATCCTATTTTCTTCACTACTGGTTCGGTAGTGGGAGCATGTGCATGCCTGGGCATGCACAGAACCTGCACATGCGCAGAAGGTCTATTATGACGTCTGAGTGGTGGGTGAAGCCTTATACCACTGCCACTACTGGTTTGCCCAAACTGGTGCGAACTGGCAGAATACCACCTCTGCTAAGGATACTAAAGCGGCTAAGTTTGTAGTTTTGTAGTTTTATTAGAATTTGTAGGCCGCCCTTTTCCCTGAGGGGACTCAGGGCGGCTCACATAAAACTGGGAAGAGGGGAAGACAAACATCAAATAGAGACATATAATAAAATGGTAGGCAACATGCATTCATCATTCGGGAGGGGTAACTATCCTTATCCCCAGGCCTGACGGGCGAGCCAGTTCTTCAAGGCTATGCGGAAGGCTTGGACGGTGGAGAGGGTACGAATCTCTACAGGGAGCTCGTTCCAAAGGGCCGGGGCTACTGCTGAGAAGGCCCTCCTCCTTGTAGTTGCCAGCCGACACTGGCTGGCCGATGGAATACGGAGGAGGCCTAGTCTGTGGGATCTTATTGGTCGCAGGGATGTAATTGGCAGAAGGCGGTCTCTCAAGTATCCAGATCCACTGCCATGTAGGGCTTTATGGGTGATTAATAGCACCTTGAAGCGCATCCGGAGATCGACAGGCAGCCAGCGCAGCTCGCGGAGGATAGGTGTTATGCGGGTGAATCGAGGTGCACCCGCGATAGTTTGGCTGAATTCTCATCTATTATATTTGAAAAATCTTGCAAAATTTTTTGAAGTGCCAGATATCTGAAGCAGAGCAATATTCCTAGGTCCAAAAAAGAAGGAAGTTCCAAAAAATTGTAGTCTAGTCAATCTAATGTAAGATTCATAAACAAGACAGTCTGTAACCAAGCTGAAAACAATTGCCAGATATTATCACTGCCTTATCAAAAACAAAACTCTCCTGGTCTAATCTTATCTCATTTTTAATTAGTTAAGTTCTTTGGCAGCTTCTGGGAATGCAAATTATTTGATACATGTATCCCAATTTTGGGAAAGCATTTGACAAAGTAACCCATGAATATAGAATACAGAATAATAGTTGGAAGAAGGTCCAAAGGTGAAGGTCTTCTCTCCAAACCCCTATATCTTTCTGGACAAATGGCTGTACATACTCTTCTTAAAACCCTTCAGTGTTGGAGCTCCTATAACTTCTGGTGGAAAGCCATTCCACACGATCAGGAAAACTTTCCTTAGTTCTAGGTTAAATCTCTCCTTGATAAGTTTCCATCTGTTACTTCATGCCCTGCCCTCAGGTGGTTTGGGCAAGATGTAAAAAGGTAAAAGTTATCCTCACACATATGTGCTAGCTGTTCCCGACTCTAGGGGCTGTGCTCATCTCCATTTCAAAGTTGAAGAGCTAGCCACTATCCAAAGATGGTCATGTGGCCGGCATGACTAAACAGATGGGTGGTATATTAAACAAACAAATAAATAAAATAAATATTAGTGATACACAGTAAATGAGAAGGGAAAACCAGCATCAAGGCAGAAGTAAATGGCTGAGTACATTCAACTTTTTAAAAAACTTTGTCATGGTATCTCAACAAGAGGATTTCTTTTTTCTCTTAGTCTTAGCAAACCTATTCAACTGCTCAGAATTAAAAATCCAGCCATAGAAGACAGCAATAAAATTCAATTTATTCCAACAAAGAGCTGAAAGTAAGAACAGCATTTAACCGGAAGGGGGGGAGCTATTTAGCTAAGGAACAAAAATCTTTAAATGCACAGATATAGCAATAGCACTTAGCAATAGTATGTAGACTGATATATTGCTTCATAGTGCTTTTCAGCTCTCTCTAAGTGTTTTACAGATTCAGCATATTGCCCCCCCAACAATCTAGGTCCTCATTTTACTGACCTCAGCAGGATGGAAGGCTGAGTCAACCTTGGGCGGATCAGAACTGAACTGCTGGCTGTCAGCAGAATTAGCCTGCAATACTGCTTTCTAACCACTGTGCCACCATGGCTCCTATGAAATGGGAAAAACTTGACTTGGCAATGAATCTTTCTAGAAACATCTTGGAACAGGGATTGATGAGCCAGAAATGTGATATGACTACAAATAAAACAGAGAGAGAAAATGGAAATCTCTGAGAGGTCTGAAGTGGAGAGAGATGGCATAGGGATGGCATAGGAACAAAGCTGCTTCAGAATCTGATGGTAGAAATATTTTGAAACCTCCCCCCAGAGGGGAGTAACAGAAACAGACGGTGAAGTGTGTATGTGTGTGTGTGTGTATCTAACAATGCTTTGAGCTCTAAGCACATAGCACTTACAAGAAATATCCTGAATAACAGGAAGCAGGCTTCCTATAATCTTCTCCACTGTCCTTACCACTCTCTGAATTGACTTTCTATCTGAGGCACTGCCGCCACCAAATCAAATAGTGATGTAGTTTCTTAAAACGCTCTCAATGGTGCCTCTGTAAACAGTGGCCACGGCAGAAGAAGAAAGCTATGCTCTTCTCATCCGATGCAGGAAATGTAGTTGCTGGATTGCCTGTATGTAAAAGAGACCAATATTTTCTGGTATTTTATTAGATGTGGTGTTATAATCTGAGTCCATAAGTCCTTATAAAAGATGTAGTATAGGTGGAGTCCTTATGCTTTGTTTGGTAACTTTAAGACTAAGAAGTTAGAGGTAGTCTTCATGTAGTGATTGCAATTGTTTCTAGCAAAATGGCTGGTAAGCAAAGCCCATGACCAGAAAGAAGCTGTGAAGAGGGCTGTTTGTTGTACCCTCATTCAAATACAATTCTCTTGTATAATGCTGATTTAATCAGTTTCAGGCCAAAATCTTTTATTGTTGTAAATAAGCATATTGTTCAGAATTTTTTTTATTCCCACTTATTGCTTCATGGCATAGGGCAGGGTGTCAAACTCAAGGCCCAAGGGCCAGATGTGGAAGCAGTGAAGGAGTGGCCCATGGTGCCTCCCACAGCAAAAACAAAGTTCAGGAGGGTTGCGTGCTGCCATCCCAAGCTTTGTTTTTACTGGCAGAGTCCGTAGGAGTCCGTTGCAGCCAAAAATGGAGCTCAGGAGCCCATTTTTGCTGGCAGAGTGCTCTGACCACCACAAGTGCCCCTGACACAAGTGATAACAAGCTGGCCTTGGCCCCCCTGGCCATACCCCCCTGCACTCCCAAAGTCAAACACAAACCGTGATGCAGTCCTCAATGAAATCAAGTTTGATGCCCCTGGCATAGGATCTGATTATTTGAAGGATTGCCTATCTCTGATAGCTTCTGCCCATCCAGTAAGATTGGCAAAGTAGGTGCATTCTAGAGGTGGGTTGCTCCTGGTTTGGCATAGATCAGGCGAACTGGTAGTAGCGACGGTGGGAAATTCCACTCACCCACCCAGATGCTTCTGCGTATGGACACAAGCAAACCGGTAGTAAAAAAATACCCACCCACTAGTACATTCCAGATTGCTTCAATCCAACAATGTAACACAGTGGGACTAGGAAGTATGTGTTCTCAGTGTGAGCTCTGCCCTCAGGAACAGCACCCCTCAGAGATACATATGGTTCTCATCCTGACAATCGTTGAAAGTCATTGAAAACCTGGCTATTCTCCCAGGCCTTAGAGAAGGCTGGCTGTTGACGCTCAGCAGGTTGCTTTGTTGTTCTGTTTGGCTTATTTTCTGGACATATATGTGATCTGTATCTGTCTGTTTATTGATTTGTGGTTTAAAGTATAAGCTTCTTAGACTTGATTAGAGTTAGCCAATGTATAAACTGTATGGATAAATATAAAAACATATTTGCATTTATTTCTGAACACTACTGAGAAGTCTGTTCTGTGAGTCTCCTTGTCAATTTACGTCACCAATTTGACATACTCTGTGTCTGAATTTATTTCTAATCCTTGGAGTTCTTTGTATACAGTATATATATATACATATAAAACATTTATTTGTTTGTTCTGAACCAGGGAGTTCTCTGGCTCACCAACAAAAGACACCAACTGCCTATTGTAAATAAAGACACTCGGTTATCTGTTTGTCCTTCGGCTGTGGAAATTTTTGCTCTGTCCGAAGCTGCCAATATTCTTCTCTGAGTTCTTTGGAAGAGCGGAGATTTTCCTACTGCTGCGGCAATGATGGCATTATCTTGCAACCAGGGTGGATTCCTAGCTTGGATGTTGCTGCTGCTGTCCTTGACTCACGTTCAAAGTAAGTAAAATGTGGTCTTGGGGATTTGCTTTTGGTTTCTGAAAGAAAAGGGTGACTTCTGGGAGGTTAACTGCTTTCTGAGAGAGAACCGAGGCTTCCTCAAGCCATGGTCTCATTTATTTTACAGCTTTTTACAGGCAGCGTCCACAGATAAAATAGCCATGTGCAAAGTATATAGAATCATTTTAAATACTATCTTGAAATATACTTTCAATTCAATATTTTAAGGCACCCTTATAAAGAATATGTGAAGCCTGAGACAACCTGGCTTGGAGTTCCTCAACATTGAAACTTTTACTGGTGAAAAGGGGCTAATTGAGCTTAACTTGATCCACAGGATTGTTGCTGTACAGAAAAATAGCAGGAGGGAGTGCTGTGCTTGTCACCCTGAGCACTTTTTGAATCTAATAAATAAAATATATATGTGGGTCCCACTGCGTTCGTTGCAGTGCGAGTTCTGCCTCTGTGGAGAACTTAAAGAATGTCACAACATATGTAGAAAAGGGGTGCAGCACTGTCTAAATTTATTGCTGCTCAAGAAGTATCCAGGAGACAGAACTAAGACAAGAGTCAGGCTTGGAAGCAGTTTTTAAATATTTAGTGTGTGCTACACAACATAAAGCCCAGAGATGCACATGAAAATCATGGATACACTCCAGAACCTCAGCCAAAATTATAATTAAATTGTATTTTTATGACTAAAAAGGAAAAAGTATTAAATAGTAGTCATTACTCTCAACTACATTTATTGACTTGATTTTTTTGCTTAAACCAGGTTTTATTTTGGCCTCAGCTATGCTCCCCGCATAACAAAATTGTGAAGATTCAAGTTAATAAAGTTAATAACAGACAGATCACTTGAGTTTCAGATTGTATAAGCAGCCATTGTAAGTGACACAAAATTGGACTTTAATTTTCAAACATTCTGCTAAGCCACCATCAGACCAGGCCAGATAAATTTCTAACAGCTGTGTATCCTAGATCATTTGAAGCACCTCTGCTCTATACCAGTTTTCATTTGCCAATTTTGTGAAAATTCATGTATGAAGAAACCAGTGTCTAATCTAGTTACTTCATGGAAGCACCATGAAGTAAGTGATCCAGTTACTTCATGGAATACAGTATGTGTTGGAAATGCCTTGGCAGATGCTTCTGGCATGAATGTAGTAATATTGCATGGATAACTATGTCTAGTATGTAGTGGTGCATTGCAGGTAGTCTTCACTTAATGACAATAATTGAGATTGACAATTCCAATGCCAACATAGTCATAAATATTATGTGAGTGTGTTGCAGTAGTTTTTATGGATGTTGGTTTTCAAGAAGCAAAAGAGTATTGACACTTCGAACTTTGATGTTGATGTTGCAGAAACAAAATCAATTGAGGTTGGGTACGAATAGAATTAAAAAAAACAAATAAAATAATAATTTAAAAAACTTCTGAGAAGATTATAGACAGCCAAGAAATCAAACAAATGGATAATCAATAAATCAGTCTATACTGTTGAAGCACAAATGATCAGCCTTGAAGTATTGCATTTCAAATATAGTCATATGAAAAAGTAAGTACATCCTCTTTGAGTTCTATGGTTTTGCATATTAGGACATAGGAAAAACCATCTGATCCTTAGCAATTATTTTAAAAGTAGATACATACAAACCTCAGATGATCAATAACAGATGATGCATTACACTACGTCATCATTTATTTTACAAAAAGAAATCCAAAACAGAGAAATGTGTGAAAAAGTCAGAATACCCTATGATGCAATAGTTTGTAGAACCATATTTAGCAGCAATAACCTGAAATAATTCTTTTCTACATGACTTTATCAGTCTCTCATATCATTGTGGATGAACTTTGGCCCACTCTACTTTATAACATTGCTTCAGTTCATTGAAGTTTGTGGGCATTTGTTTATGCACTGTTCACTTGAAGTCTCAAAACAACATTTCTGTCAGGTTCAGGTCTGGACTTTGACTGGGCTATTGCAATGCTTTGATTGCTTTCTTTTTCAGCCATTCTTTTGTAGATTTGCTGGTGTGCTTGGGAACATTGTCCTGACACATGACCCAATGTCAGCCAAGCTTTATCTGTCCAACAAATGACTTCATATTTGACTCAAGAATATTTTGGTATACAGAGGAGTCCATGGTTGACTCAACAACTGCAAGGTGCCTAGAGCCTGTGACAGCAAAACAAGCCCAAATCATCACCCCCTCCACCACCATGCTTAATGGTTGGTATGAGATGTCTGTGCTAATATACTGTATTTGGTTTTCACCAAATGTGCTACTGTGCATTATGGCCAAACATCTCCACTTTGGTCTCATCTGTCCAAAGAATAGTGTTCCAGAAGTCTTGTGTTTTGTTCAGATGCAACTTTGCACATCTAAGCCATGCTCTCATTTTCTTTTTAGGGAGAAGAGACTTTCCCCTTCCAAATAAACCAAACTTGTTCAGTCTTTTTCTAACTGTACTATCATACACTTGAACATTTAACATATAACTGAGGCCTATATAGTGTGCAATGTAACTCTTCGGCTTCTTGCAATTTCTCTGAGCTTTGCATAGTCTGACCTTGGGGGGAAATTGCTGCAATGTCCATGCCTGGAAAATTTGCAACTTTCTTGAATATTCTCTACTTGTGAATAATCATCCTCATTGTAGAATGATGGAGTTTAAAGTGTTTGGAAATGGCCTTATAACCCTTCCTAGATTGATGGGCAGCAACAACTGCTTCTCTAAGATCATTGCTGATGTTTTTACTCTTTGGCATTTTATTAACAAATACCTCAATGCTGGAGATCAGCAAATTCCTAAAGCTTCAGCTTTTATAGAGGCATTCACACTTGCTGATGATCAACTGATCAAGGGTGCTTGATTAGAAGCACCTAATTGCTACTTAGCCTCTTCTCTACCTATGAAAACAATAAGAGTGTACTTAATTTTTCACACATGGATTCTTCTCCATTTTGGCTTTCATTTTGTAAAATAATTGATAACATGGTGAGATGTGTCATCTGCTCTTGTTCATCTGTGGTTGTACTAACCTATTATTAAGAACTGCTAAGGACTAGATGATTTTTGCTATCATGATATGTACAATTATAGATCTCATACTTTCCTTTTCACATGATTGCATTATGAAGAGGTAGCTCTGTAAAGAAAACTTTGGTGCTGGGAAAAGTAGAAGAAAAAAGAAGAGGATGGTCAGTAACAGGATGAGCAGACTCAGTTAAAGTGATGATGAGTGCATCATTAGAAGACCTGAAAGATCAAGGATGGTTTTTCACTTGGGACAGATTTTCAAGGGGCAAAACTATAGTTACGATTTTAATGTATGGTTTGCTTTGATACTGTAATAACCTCTCTGTTACCTACTTCAGAGCTTCCTCATTTTTTACTTATCTACAGCTCAGTGTCCAACCCCAGATCTACCTCCCCATTCTTCACTAAGAGAAGGAGAAGTCCTAGCAGATAACTATCCAGCTGGAACTAATCTGGAGTTACAGTGCCTCCCAGGTTATGAATTTATAATTAAAAGAAATTATTGGATAACATGTCTTGACAGTGGGAAGTGGTCAATTCTTCCTATGTCCCTTTGTGAAGGTTAGTATCTTTTGTCAACACCAGTGGCTTCTATGAAATGTTGAATGAAATATGTTCAGTTCTTCAAAATTGTCAAATTTAAAGTTGTAACTTTAGTTTCCACCCTGTAACATGTTGAATAAAACATTATGTGAAAATTCTTCTGGCTATTGGATAATGAGAATTTAGCAAGCATTTGGATGGGTGTTTCTGAATTGCTGTTTCTTAGTTTTTCTGCCAGCAGAATTCATTAAAATACTAGGGCACATCAATTGTTTTAATGCTGCCTTGAAGCTATTCATCTTAATTCAGATACTGTTTTGGAGGGCAGTAGGCCCAGGATCCTAGGATGTGTGTAATGCTAACACTAAGGATGGTAGGAAAAATCATCAAAGTTTACTCTTTGTATTATCATTTAGGATGAATCTATTTTTTTCCTTATTTGTCATTTATTAAATGTATATTCTGCCCTCATGTGGGAGGTCAAGGTCACATATATTTTCTAAAGAAAACCTTCAACAAAAACAGTACTAAAGGGAGAGAAACAGCATGTTTGCACACTTATTTAATCTTTTTAGATTTTTGTTTAGCCTAATCTCATAAAATGCTGAATGAAATACATGCAAACTTTCAGAGACTTACATTCAGACTAAACTGAATACTGAGTTATAAGAATTCCGAAAGCATTCTACTGGGCAATAATAATTTGTACTTTTTGAATTCTTTTGTTCATCGAATTAGAAATATTAGGGTGTGGCCATTTTCATACCGTTGTGATGAAATCAGGATCTCTAGGTTGTTAGTTTCAGAATTTCTCCCATTTGTTCAGCACTGTTCAAACTCATAAAGTTATAATGTCATTGAAAAGAATTGTACGAGTTACAGCTATTACAGGTCTCCTGAAGGCACATGATAAAAATTCAGCCTCTTGACAATCCACCCATATTTAAACCTGGAGGGTTTATTTCAACTTCTCCAGGCCCCCCTGTCTTCCCTACAACTCTGACCTTTGGACCTCCCTGTGGTCTACCATCCCGGTTGCCCAGCACTCTACTATCTGCAGCTGAGTTTCATCATCATTTTCCACCCACTGCTGAAAACCGGAACCTTTATGTGGAAGCTGCTGACCATGCAAAGTCTTCTTTCCAAAGTGAGGAAAGTGAATTGGGAGGGAAGGAGTGGGCCAGCAAGGAATCATGAGGAAATTCTTGCTTAATGATTCACAATTCTCAGCTAACAACAATGGGGACTGACAGTATTGCCGTCACTAAAAAATACAGCCACATGATGCTATACATTACAACTATATTACTTAGTGGTATAAATTCCTGTCCAAATTACTGTTGATAACTGAGGCTTATCTGTAACTGTAAAACAAACTGTGGACCACCACATTTACTCACTGAGGAGGAACCAGATTGCTAGCTTATTATTAGACAATTTGTGTCCAGTAGGATCATCATTTCAGAAGTATTTCTCTGCCTAAACAGAGAAACAGGATGAAATATTTGTACAGCCCTATAACGGAGAGAGAGAGAGATGTATAATGCCAGAAATTCCTTGAAGGAACATGAGATAAAAGTACAGTCCTTCAACCTGTGCAATCTGTGACACACTAACTCTCAGAGACATAGAAGAACTGTTCTCATCCACATCAAGTTTTCAACCCCAACCTGAGGATTTTCTGCAGACCAATGATTACACTAGTCAAGTCATTCAGTCACCAGAAAGATACTATTTTCTGTGTTCATTTTATTTTAAGTGTGGCAAAGGCCCATGATAACACCAATTCCAATTTTTTAGGACAGAGATGTCCCATTCCAAAAATAGAAAATGGCCATGCAAAGTTTGCAATTGACATCAAACTTGGTATGAAAGTAACCCTTGCTTGCAATCATGGGTAAGTTAGAGATCATTTCTTATAGCAACTTGGTTTTGTAAAATATGTTTAGAGAGAACTGACAATCATGTACTGTTTCAGAAAGTACTGATATTAAAAATCTGAACTGTGAATATGTACTCTAACTCTTCATACTCCTTCATTAAGAGACAAATAACTCAAAAGCAATTTAAACATAAAGCAAAGTTTTACTGATCAAATTATTTAGAGGCCATTTTAATCTATATCCACACATGTTTCTGTGTTCCTATCCCCAGAGGATCTTTCCATGTGTGGTTTCTTCATTCTTGGTAGTGAAATTACATGTGTAACATGGTGGGGTAGGATATGAAGCTTTGACATTGGTTTAAAGGTGAACATTTCTGGTATATAGCACCTTACCATGTTTTTAGAATACATTTCTAGGGATTCTTAATAAGCAGATATGGACCAGTACAGTGGTGGGATTCAGCCAGTTTAGGACGGTTCAACCAACCAGTTGTTAAATTGCTGGCTGGCGCTGCCCCTTCCTGCCCTGCCACAAAGTGCAGTATTGCAGGCAAACTCTGCCCAAAGTCTGGAATTCAATCCTGGCCTTTCAATTTAAATAAATTAAAAGAATTTGGCCTATTAGCTGGCTTTAAGATTATTAAATAGAAGCCAAAGGTGTTAATAAAAATATGAAGATGCAAAATGAAATATAATTTATGAATAAAACAGGTTCCAAGATTGAGAAAAGGGTAGAATATTTGGGTGTAAATTTAGGAATTGTATGTTGTTTCAAAATCATTATGTTAAGACATGGAATGAAGTTATAAAATATTTGTTAAGATGGCAAAAATTATAACTGTCATTTTTGAGAAAAAATTGCAACTAATCAATCTATGGCTCAATCTTAAATATTCTATATAGTTTTCATAATTTATTTACTAAAAGATAAGTCTTTTTTCCCTTTTAGGTTTAGGATGATAGGCAATTCTACCATTTCGTGTGTTATGAAATCAGGCAAACTTGATTGGGATAAAGATCTTCCAGTTTGCGAACGTAAGATGTTACTTTATTTTAAGCTTATTAGATTTATTTTGGTGCTTTTACATTTAAATTTCTAATAGCAAAAATTCAGTCTGCCCAGCCTTTACCTTTTCCTTCATTATCGGAATGATATTCATATCCAATGTTCTTAAACCAAGTGAAAAATACAAAATAACAATAAAAGCAGTAACATAAAGTGCAGCAATACTGCAAAGAATACGGATCACATTACATAAGCAAACACTTCACTACAAGAGAAAACAACGCTGCAATATTCCAATTCCCAAGACCTTCAGAAAGAGGTTTGTTACATACTGACAGACAGTATGGTAGTTTTCACACAGGTCCTCTGTTCCGGCGGGAATAGCAGTTCAATCTGATTGGTCGAGAGGTCTGACAGCTCCCTATAAAAGGGCTGCTGCCAGACAGAGTCTCTGCTGGACTGTAAATAGTTGTCACTGAATAAAGAGCTGTTTGTTGCTGAAGCCTGAGTCTGCCTCATCCTTTCACCCTATCTAACACTGGCAACGAAGGTGGGATTGGAAGGTAACTAGGCACCAAAAAGAGCAAATACAATCCAGCAAGTCAATCCAGCCTGGAGCAAAGCGTGGCAGCAAGCAGCCATCTTAAAGTGGCAAATTCAAATCTGCTTGCCAAGACAAGGTGACTATGAATGCCCCACCAATTCCGTATGACCCAGTGACTGAGCACTGAGACTCGTACTGTATATGATAAGGTTTGAATGCTTCCTCGAAGCCAATGACCTCCTGGGCCTGCTGAAGGCCGGAAAAAAGCAATGTTCCTGAGCTACTGCGGACTAGAAGCCAAGGACCTATCTGAGCCAACTCTGATACAGTCGGTCACATGGTCGGTCCTGCAACAGATGCTGCAGACACACTACACTTCCAGACCATCTAAATATGTGCGGAGGCACAAATTCAACCTCTGCAACCAGAAAGAAGGGGAAATGATAAACCAGTATGTTGCCACACTTTGGAAGGCTGCAGCCTACTGTGAATTCAGGGTCTTAGATGAACTATTGCTGGGCAGAATCATTTGTGGCATTTGGGATGTTAATTTACAGAGAAGGTTGCTCACCAAGACAAACCTCACTCTACAAATCGTCCTGGATAAAGCCGGGGCTACTGAGTCTTCAACCAAGTCAACGGAGACCTTGCAGTGGCAGAGCAGCCCAAAAAGTGCACACAAAACTGCAGAAGTGCATCCTGAGACTACAGAGCCTGAGCCCTCTGATAGCGAGAATGAAATCTACCACATGCGCACTGATCACAAAGAATTGGAGCGGAAATTTGAAATGCATTTCCTGCTTTGCACCAGCTGTGGAGGCAACCAACAGCAATCTGCCTGCTGTTTCTGGGATGCCATCTGCCAGCACTGCGAACAAAAAGGGCACATCGCCAGGGTCTGCAGAAGCAAATTCCCTGCAGCATCGAACCAACTGAAGGGCCAACCTACACACCCGAAACCGCCAAGAAGAGGCTCATGGCAACCATGGCCAAAGCAGCCTGCAGCAGAATCTGACGCAACATTCCAGACCACCATTGGTCAAGCAAGCACCCCGCAGAACAAAAAGCTGAGAGTCATCATCTTCCTTGAGGGATCTCCATGCTCAATGGAGATTGACACCGGGCATCACTAATTATCATGTCCTGGGCTACGCTGAAGAAGGCTGTCCCCAGCTTATGAAGGCACAAGCTGAAGGTTCCAGACCTATGCCTGAGTGACTACTAGGGGAACCGAATCCCGTTTCTTGGCTGAGGCACTTTCCGAGTGCAATTCAAGTCTTTGGACCTGCTTCCTATGACGGTGGTCAGTGGATCCCTGCATTTGTCAAATTGGATATGGTGCAGGCATACGAACGGTTGCCTTTAGATGGTGCCACGGCAGAGGCCTAAACCATTGTGATGCACAGGGGGGCTTTTAAATGCACCCAGCTTCAATTCAGCATTAGTATTGCCCCTGGACTGTTCCAAAGTGTCATGGAATGGCTTTTGCAGAAGATACCAGTGGTTGTCCCCTATTTCGACGACATCTTGGTATCAGCTGTAAATAAGGAGTAACTTTAAAAAAAATCTAGGATGGTTTTGACAAGAATTAGTGAAAAGGGCCTTCACCTCATAAAGGATAAATGCTAAAATAATGTGCCCAGGGTTGAATTTCTGGGGTACCTGATCAATGGTTCCAGGATTCATCCAACAAATAAAAAAATCAAAGCTATCCAGGATGCCCCCCCCCCCACCTCGCAATCAGACTGAGCTACAGGTGTTTCTCACACTCCTTAACTTCTACAGCATCTTTCTCAAACAGAAAGCTATGGTTGCTGAACCTTTGCATCGGCTCCTCAGCAAGAAAATGAAATGGACCTGGGGCGGAGCTGAAGCTGCTGCATTTGCTGCGGTGAAAAAACTGCTGTCAGCTGACATATTTCTGGTCCAGTACAAACAGACTCTGCCACTTGTACTGACTTGTGACGCTTCCCCGTTTGGCATTGGGGCCATCCTCAGCCACCACATGCCAATGGAACCAAGGCACAGAAACCGAAGAATGGGTGGCTACCTGCACACCATACCAGGAGTCTATACCAGCTCCCCAGAGGTGCCCACTAAGGAGTGGGAACGATCTTAGTCCCATTGACTTTGCCAGCCCAGTTCATGGCCAAGTATTCATGGTAGTTGTGGATGCCTATTCAAAATGGTTAGAGATAATCCTCATGGCCACTACCATGGCAGAAGCAGTCGTCAAGGCACTACGGAGACTTTTCTCCACTCAGGGCCTGCCCAATGTCCTAGTCTGTGATAATGGGCCCCAATTTACAGCCATGCAATTCGAAGCTTACTTAGCTTCGCAGGAAATTAGGCATGCCCTAGTCGCACCATTCCATCCAGCCAGTAATGGACAGGTGGAGAGAATGGTGCAACCCGCTAAAGAAGCCCTATCTAGAATGGGGCTGGGATATTGGCAAACACAGGTAGACCAATTCCTCCTTTAACAGCACATCACGCCATGCACTACCACTGGGAGAAGCCCCGCTGAGCTTCTAATGAGTCGCCAGCTAAGTTCGCCCTTAGACCGGCTACACCCAAACTATTCTGCCATGACACCTCCAGACTTGACTTGATAACTTAGACACTTTAGCATAGGGGATCGAGTTTATGCCCACAACTATGCTGGGGCAGCTCTCGTCACAGGAATTACCGGACCTCGCTCATATAAATTGGAGCTCGAGCTCGAGGATGGTAGGATATGGAGGTGGCACAACTCTGAGGCCGCCTCTCCCAATTCAATCTTAGACAACCAGAGGTAACTCCTGAACGAGTTAGCCAAAGCCCTATCCAAAAAGAGCATGAACTCATTCCTTCTACAGACTACTCAAGCCTGAAGGTACTGCGGTACTTATCTGCTGAAGTTGCAGGGCCACAGTGAGTTCCGAGTGAACTGGCTCCAGAAACACCAGCCGTGCCCTGTGGAAAGTTCCAGGAGCTTACAGCAAGCAAAGCCAAAGAGACAGCAGTTCCATCCAACCTGACTGAAGATCCAGCTCCAACTGAACTGTGCAGGCCTGGGTGAGTCACTAGAAAACCTGCCTACCTGTGTGAGTATGTTACAAGCTGGATGAGCACAACTAAAAGGGGAGGGTGTTACATATTGACAGACAGTATGGTAGTTTTCACACAGGTCCTCTGTTCTGGCGGGAACAGCAGTTCAATCTGATTGGTCAAGAGGTCTGACAGCTCCCTATGAAAGGGCTGCTGCCAGACAGAGTCTTTGCTGGATTGTAAATAGTTGTCACTGAATAAAGAGCTGTTTGTTGCTGAAGCCTGAGTCTGTCTCATACCTTCACCCTATCTAACAAGGTTCATGGTTGGAGCTATTCTCATCTCTGAGGTGGGTTGGGGGAATGCTGTTCCACACAAGGGTGGCTTCAGATCTCATTGGTCAGGCAGTTATTGGGTTAGACATTTCTGAAGATACTTAGGTCATCAGCTGTTTAATGATGACAACCAGGAGTTTGAATAAACCCATCACCAGTGCAGCTCTGAGGGAAGTGTAGCTATATAGACAAGATGAGATACACTCATAACTAATGGCATTTATGCATCTTTCGACTACCTACACATTCTCTGTTATTTTCAAAGAGAGTATGCTGCAAATGTTCAACCAAATGGTTTTTAAGGCATTTATGAGTATCTGTGAGAGAGGTTAAAACTGATAAACAATATAACACTGTGGAAAGCAAAGTTAAGGAAAGGGAAGAAACATGAAGGAAAGTGAACTGGAAGGTTCTACTAGCCACAGCTCAGTGACGTGCAGTCAGGTGAAGCAGGTGAGGCACAGAAAAAAAATGTAAAAGGAAAAAGGCAAGAGCTGAGGTGAGGCTAGCTAGCTGCTGCCTCACTGTGGATGTCTCTGCTTAACTGTTTAAAAAAGCCTCTAAAAGCGCCCTCTACTATGAGGCAGGAGAACTGCGTGCTTCATCTAGTCAGACTTTTTAGGCATTTTATGATTACTCGAGCAGAGTTAAGCAAGGGTTAAAAGCCTAAAAAGTCCAGAGGTAGATGAGGCACGTAGTTCTCCTGCCTCATAGTAGAGAGCGCTAGTTCTTCNTTGAGGTGTGCAGTTCTCAAGAAATGGGAAAGAAGATAGGAAGGTGTTTCCCTGATGGTCAATATAGCATCAGCCTGTTTGTTGTGTAAAGTTAAAATGTAAAAAATTGGGCCCACCTGACCTGATGCTGTGTAAGATTGTGAAAGTGTCCCAAATTCTTTTACCTTGTCTGTACTTCCAAAGAGTAGCATTCAGAATATTTAATGTATTAATTCAATGTATTTGTATCCCATATTTATTCTTATTTTAGAAATAACTCAAAGCAGAAACCATATCCAACACACTTATATTTTCTTCACAATCAAAACCCTATGAGGTGAGTTGGGCCAAAAGAGAGTGACTGGTCCAAAGTCATCCAGCTTTCATGACTTAAGATAACCTTTGAGAAAATTGTGATGAAACCGAATTGAACACTTCTGTAATGACCAATGATTCCTTCTTTAAAATATCCTAATGAGTTTCAGGAAATAGCAACTCTCCAGAAAACAAATACAGCCAGTGCCAGAAAAGTGATCGCTCAAAAAAGGGAAGGTTAGCAAAGGATGCTAGGAATAATAATAATAACGATATGCTCCTTTAGGTAAAATGGGGGTGGGGGGAGAGAGAGAGAAGGAAAAGAAAAGGAATTCCTGCATCAACTGCTTAGTTACAAGGCAAAACACTAATTGTAAACAAAAGGCAGTGGTTTGCCCTATCAGTGCCATCTACATACTTTGGGTTGTACCATGGGAGTGCTATAGATTCCAGCCATCGTTTACAGTCTCAGCTATGCATCCCGAAATCAATGATTCAATGGGTGTTCCTTTGATTTGTGGATACATTTGTCTATTAAACTGAAAGTTTATCAATTTTATCAAAGGTTGATAAGATCCATGATTCTTGGTGTATTTGGTTAGGTCAGGTGTGCTGTGTATTGTGTTGGCTGTGCACACCATACACCTGAACTAACCAAATACACCAAGATTGAAATACCCAGAATCATGGACCTTATCAAAAAAAATTTCGACTGCATATTTTCAATTTACTCTAAAAGAAGCTGTATAAGAAACCAACACAGATAAACAAGCTAAGAGTAAATAATAGCCTAATCAAGAAACCACCAAGACCACTCCCAGCAACCTCACTCACTTCTAGCACCAGTGAAGTTACCTAGTTTGGTAATAAAATGTCTAAAGAAAACCAAAGTCAGAGGACACCAAGAATCCTACATGTAACTCTGTTTTATACATTATTTTACTCATTGATTCTCTTCTCCTAATTCTAATAACAAAGTAACACTCTTTCCAAAAGAAGTCAGATTAAGTTGGACAATAGNGAGAGACAGACACAGACACAGAGGGAGAGTGGAGAGAGATATACACACACACAGAGGGAGAGACAGATCGACAGACACAGAGAGAGAATCACATAGACAGGCACAGAGGGAGGGAGAGAGAGGCAAAGAGCCACACAGACATACACACACACACCGCGAGAGAGAAAGACTCACACAGAGAGAAAAAGAAAAAGAGAAAGAAAGGAAGAAAGAAAGAAAGAAAGAAAGAGTGAGAGAGATGAAAGGAAAAAAAGGGACAGAGAGACAAAAGGAAGGAAAGACACAGAGAGAGAGAGAGAGAGAAAGAAAACACATGGCCGCAAGCCACTCCCACCAGGTCACATGGCCGGCAAGCCACTCCCACAAAGAAGGCCACACCCACAGAGTAGTTCAAAAAAATTTTGAAACCCACCACTGATCCTTCCCCTCGATGACAATGTTGTTGGATTGAAGATTAAGCCATGAAAGGAGCTACTGCTCATGTTTCCTTAAATGTGACTAGAACCGTGTGTGCAACTAAAGATTTTGCGTCATTAGCCTCTCCATTCTAGTGGGTTCTACTCACAGTAAAGCAAATGCAGGTACCTTTTTAATGGTAAAATTCATTGCACTAACTGTTCAAATTTGTTTATATGGAATTACATTAGCAAAGGTATCCAGAATCCTGCCTTCTTCAGTTGTACAGGTAGTCCTTGCTTAACAACTGGTCACTTAATGGCTTTTCAAAGTTACAGATCCCACAAAAGCTACCTAGTTCCAAAGTTACAGCTGCTGCAGCATCCTCACAGTTATTCGTTCTTACAATTGCCTGCAGGAATTCTGCAGTGCCCCCTGCCTCCTCTCTCCCCTCCCCCAATCCCTCCCTGGTGGGTCCCACAGCCCCCAGGCCCTCTCCCCACATGCCCATCAGCATTAAATGATGATGCTTTGAAGATTTCTGGACCTGATGTTAGGGAAAGAGGGCAAGCGTCTCTGGGTTGCATAGCTATCTCCTGAAAGTGCCCATCATTTTAGCACTTGCTTCAAAATGGGTACTTTGTTGTTCATGTAATTGTTGAGATCACTTTTATCAAATTTTCCAAAGGAAGAATGTAATGTTTTTAGTTTAAACTTGCATATGGAAGAGATCCTAATGAGGAAGACCACTTTGATAAAAAGAACTGTACCAAGAAATCTCATGATGGAGCTAGACAGCAGATATTTATTTCTTAGGAATATTTTCCTGGGCACTAGAAAAGTCACTGGTTTTCTGGTTGATTGTAGAAAGTATTCCAAAGATTGCATTTACCTGATTGATTGAAGTAGTTAATTCGAAAAGCTAAATGTCTATATCATGAGGTAATTTTCATTCAAATGCTTTACAATTCTAGCCTAGTTGAATTTGTTGAATTTTTTTCCTCCAGGTATTCCTTGTGTTCGTCCTCCTCTAATAGCCAATGGAAGATATGACCCCAATCTTTCAGATGTATATGATACTGGCGCGGTAGTAATATATCGGTGTGATACTGATTACTCCCTTATTGGACAATCTACTATTACATGTGTAGTACCAGAAAATAGTGTAGTTGGAGAGTGGAATTGGCCTTCACCTGAATGCAAAAGTAATGGAATTTTATGTTCTTTTACTTACTTTCAGACTGTAAAATTGTTTATTCCTCCCCCATTTGTTAAGCATTTTTTGGGGGGCTAGAATCTGGTAATCTTGTCTTCTAAACATTGGGCTGCGTTGGATTACAAAATTGGAATTATCCATCTGAAACTAGTTCCCACATGGGAGTATTGAAAGAAATGCAAACATAGTTTGAATAAATTATTCTACTACTTTTATTCTGATTTGGTAATTACCTCCTTGAGCTTGATTAAACTATTAAATTATTTATTAGGGGGATAATAAAAATGATTTAATTTTGTTTCTCTCTAATGCAGTAAGGTAAAACATTGGACAATTTCTTATAATCTAACAAGAGGATTCCCCATGGCAAGAGTCCAATGTGCCTTAATCATATAAAACAAATCTTACTTCAAACTCGTCATTTAAAAATAGTCAGGTTTCATATTAATTACTTTAAAATCACTTGTTGATAACTGATCTCAATGATTTTTGGTTGCTTGAGTGTCTTATAAAGAAAATTAACTACTATATCTACAGGTCTATGTTTGTGAACTGAGTTATATTACTGTTGGCTGGGTAGAAGTCTAGAAATAGTATTATTACAGAATGTAGCAGAATTGGTTAATATTTTTTCACACATAACTCAGAATATTTTTCAAGAGTGAGGCAGAAAAAATAGGGTATTAATTTCAGCTTGATATAATCATGATTTTGTAAATTAGGCACAGTATATTCTCTTACAAGTCTTATAGTTTCTTTCATATCCCAAATATTTATTTTATAAATTCTTAACTAATGAATTCCAAGATCTTTCGTAATTGCTGTACTTTATTCATTCGAAATATATTTTATTCCTGGACCTCATATATACTAACACACTCCTATTTTTCCTATAACAGCAACAAACAGAATATTCTGAAAGTGAGGTTCTGACTCATAGTCACACGGTGAACTTCTGTAACTTAGGGTGAACCTTTGATACTAGCCTACAACACTATACCATACTGGCTGTCAGTATTACATTTTTGTAATAAAGGTCTCCCTGTGGATTTTACTCCACTAGTTGTGATCAACTTTAAGGGACAGTGCTCATTTCTGTTTCTTAAGCCAAAACCAGAGTTCTTTGGAGACATTTCCACAGTAATGTAGCCAGCATGAAATCACACCATAACACAAGGTATATGGCAAAACATGGAATGCTGCTACCCTCCTGTATGCTTAGTCCGTTAAAAGGTCTGCAGTTAGAAACCCGACTGCTGCAAGGTATAGTGACTTCTTGTCACTAATCTCAGTTCCTGCCAACACAGCAGTCTGAAAGCATCTAAATGCAAGTAGATTAACAGGTACCACACTTTTATAATAAAAGTTACATATTTTGTTCAGTTATTTGAAACTGCAGGTAATTAGCTTTGTGACCATTTAATCCTCTTCCATGCAAATCCTGCAGACCTGGTGCAGTCAAATTAGGTAGCTATTCTTTTTGGCCAAAGCTAAGAAAATAATGGTTTCCAGGCTTAAGATTACTAGTGCCAGCAGCAAACCATAATTACATCACATGGTGATTCCACAATGTACATACATGTCACCATTATGTACTTGTTTCCCACTCTGTGACAAAAATATACAGCTCACAGCATTTGTATATCAGTAACACCATGCATACTTTTGTTCCTCATTAAGCCAATTGGATATTTGCTGCAAACTAAATGCTGATTTCTTTTCCAGAGGTCAAGTGTCATAGACCACGCATTCCAAATGGAAGAGTGATAAGTGTGTTTCAAGATGTGTATACATATCAGAATAAAATAGTGATTGAATGTAATCCTGGCTACGTTTTGGTAGGATCTTCTATAATTAAATGTGATGCTGATAGTCAGTGGAAACCGCCTGGTCCATGGTGTGATAAGCGTAAGTAATTTTTCTTAAAACTTTGTTGAACATCAGAGTTGAACATTTGAAAGTTGCACATCCTGGGTGTTAAGAAAGCTATATAAACATTTTTCTCTCTCTCTTTTGCTGGTGTAGTCACAGACCCAACATCTACTCCTCCCCCTAACCCTCCAGAAGAAGATAAGAGTGAAGTTGAATCCTCATGTAATTTTACTGTTAATTTGTATTAGTGTAGAAATGCAATAAACTGGCTAGAAAAATTACAGTCATATTACAAAGAAAATACACCTTCTTTGAGTTCTATGGTTTTACATATCAGGACATAGTAAAAATCATCTGGTACTTAGCAGATCTTAAAAGCAGGTAAATACAACTTCAGATGAACNAAAGCGCCCTCTACTATGAGGCAGGAGAACTGCGTGCTTCATCTAGTCAGACTTTTTAGGCATTTTATGATTACTCGAGCAGAGTTAAGCAAGGGTTAAAAGCCTAAAAAGTCCAGAGGTAGATGAGGCACGTAGTTCTCCTGCCTCATAGTAGAGAGCGCTAGTTCTTCCTTTGACTCAGCAGCAGCAGAGTAAGTGATGAGTCCAGTGCAGTCATTGGTCCCTTCCCTTCCAACTCTGTCATCCTCTTTAAAGCTGCAGCAATGTGCCAGCTCTTCCTCCTCTTCCTTGGTTTCTAATGCCCCCCCACCCCCACCCCACGCTCCCTCTTTTCCTTCAGATTTCCTTTTTTTTCTTTTTTCTTTAATAAATACAATGCCAGTTGCCACTTGGATTGAATCTTCTCTGTTGAGTTAACCTTGCATGAATTGCAAAAGGAGGAAGAATTGGGGGGGGGGGGTGCAAGCCTACCAAAGCTTCCAACAAATAGGTGGATTAGTCAGTGGGGTGTTGGGGAAGAGGACCGAACGCCTGAGCTCTGCCGCGGGCAAAAGAAAGCACTTTCCGCTAGTGAGGTTTCCCCGCAATCCGAGCCAAGCTGCAATGGTGGTTTGGCTCAGATCTGGCACTTCTTGGCAGGCTGGAAGGCGAAGGGAAAAGAAGCAGCTGGCGAGGTAGCCGGGAGAGAGCCCAGGAGGAAAGGTACACACGTGGAGGAGAGGAATTTAAGGCGAAAGCCGGATAAGCTTCTTCGCCCCTAGGTGCTTTTCCTGGTTGCTGCATTTTATTGGAAGTTACCCATTATCCAAGGTGGGCTAATAATAGAATCCAGTCATTTCTGCTGAGCTAAGGCTGCGTTTATTACCTTTTAACCACCTATGGTTCCTTTCCTTGGGGGTTGGCTGCTCCCCACCCCCAAGCTCCAGGAAGAACACATTTATTCTTCATTGTTTTCTACCCACCCCTAGCTAAATAATACCTGGGGTGCAAAGCAGGGTGGTTGAGCAGACCTGGACGTGAATTACAGTTACCTGCAATTGAGGGCTTTAAACATACTGCTGAGGGATACATTGGGGGGGAAAGTAGGAATTCCTCCTCTCCCCTTGTCTTTCATCTCTTCTCCTCTCTTCCTCCATTCTGAATTAAATATGCAGAAAACTTCACCTGAAGCAACTTTTGCAGGTCAACATATATACATCTGTATTAGAAATGTTCCTTAATCAACAGGTTATGCAAACATCCAGTGCAGGCAACATATATTAAATTAATTATTAATATTTAACTTTCCTTAAATATATTCCAAAACTTCTACCCAGGATTGTAGGGGATGACATGTTTTCAATAGTGGATGCCATTCCCTGCTAAACTTTATTACTGATAGCTGTTCATTTCCAAGTAGAACTGAAATAGAATATTAATTCTCCCCAATTTTTTATGCAATTGCAAAAAGATCAAAGATGTCACAGTCCTCCCTTCATGATGATCATTTGTCGTGTTTTAATAGGAGACAGGTAGTCCTGAACCTATGACCACAACTGAACCTAAAATTTTATTTTGCACAGTAAGACAGCTAAGTGAATTTTGCCCCACTCTACGACTTTTCTTCCTGCAGTTGTTAA